GGCCGTAAACACCTTTCTGTCACATTTTATTAGTCAGTATCATTTCTACTAATACCTGGCTTATACCTTCATGACTTTGAGTTCATATTATTTTCATGCTTCAATTAGAAAGAAGTTGATAGCCAGACTATCCAGGAAGGTAATGGAAAAGTCTTGTAGCGGGGCTTAGTGGTGGAATTTATAGTTAAATGAAACTTTGAAATATACTATAAAACTTCTCCTTCCTTTACGTAGTTTCACTTGAGGTCTCATAAGCAGTAATATGTAGAAATGCAAAACTTAATCAGCTAAAAAATATAGCAAATCCCACATATCACTTTATGCAATGCCAGGAGAGCAGAAATATATTTTCCTAACCAGAGGAAATTAACCAGGCAACAGTCCTATATCTATAATTTAAAGCAGTAAAATATGTATGGCAGAAGCTAAAGCCACCTTAAAAGAATTCAGGGTAGCAGTATATCACAAATTAATGAAATGGAGACATTTTTAGAGCATGCAGCACTGATGATATTAAAGGGGGCAGACTATTTCACCACATAGATCAGACTGATAAATACTTTTAAAATCAAGCTTTTTTCCCTGTTTAAAAGTGTAAGATCTCGAATATTAGGGGGAAGCACACACGAGTCATTAACATTTCTTATCAAATCTCAACAGAGATTAGGAATATCTCATTCTGTCCCTGCATGTAAACCTCTGATGTGGTTTACACATCAGGAAAATCTGAGTAAATCAAAAGGCAGGAATTATGGAGTCAGCGCTTACTTTGTCGCACCTAAAACAGAGCTGAAAGAAACTTAAAAAAATTGCTTTGTATTCCATGCTGTAGCCAAGCTGGGCACTACGGAATATTCAACTACCCCAGGTTTTTTAAATGCAATCAATTTACTGCTGCCAAATGTAGTAGGTTTATACACATCTGGGAAACATGCACCTACGGTGCTGATGAATTTCTCCTGACATTGCACTGATTTCAAGAGAATGTTATTTTAAATTGGCAGTAGAGAAACTGGTAGAGAAGGATAAAGCCCTGAGGACGGCTGAATCAAAGAGAATTTCAAAAGAATTTTCCTGATGGTTCTTGGATAATATCACATGTTAGCTATTTTCAAAGCCAATAGTTTCCAACACACTTCCATTTATGGTATCAATAATTAAAAAATACTTCAGTGGGAGAGGAATTTACCTTACTGAGAGGAGAAATTGGAAAGCTGTGTTATTATCATAAACACAGGAGATGCAGAAAGCTTTGTCTCCATGGAAAAGCTATGGAAACAGGGATATCTTATTTGCAACTATTGAGCAGTTACCAAAAAATGTGATGTGATTGTATGTGCATGTTCAAAGTGCTACTAGAACGTGATCATGCAGAAACTAAGGGCAGATCCTCATCTTCTTTGTGCAACAAGGCCGAATTAAACCACCTGAAGCTTTGCTCCTGAAGCCCGAAGACAATTAGAATAGCACTAAGGAAATGTTTTGGATCAAATTCAGAGGTAAAACTAAGTTTAAAGAAGGTCTAAATTACCAAAACTTAAATCTCATTATGCCCCACTCCCTGCCAGCACGCCCCTGCCAGCTCCTAATGAATTTTTAACTTCTTTCCCCCACCCCACCGTGCACATCAGCGCTGACTCTGGCACCCCGAGCTGTGCCAGCGCTGCACTCTAATTGTACCTCACGTGTCAAGGGGCAAGAAGAAAGGAGTGTGGTGAGAGCATTGATAAATTTAACTTAACATTCCTCCAGCTACTCAGCAGTAAGGCAGAGCAGTGAACTCCCCTCCACGTTTTACAGGGGTGTCAGGTACTTCAAAGGAATGTGTTTGAGCACGAGGGAGTCTGGCTCGCTCCCAGCTTATGCATCATTTGTGTCTGGCTGTTTCTGGAGATCCAAAGCAAAGCAAAGACTTCCTCCAGTTTGGGGCACGGTGTGGAGCTTCCTGTAGCTGTTCTCTTAGGGGTACTGGAAGAGGTCAGCCCTGCCTGTTGCATACAAACTGTGTAGTTGGAGCTGCATCTGTACTTCCTTTTTCTCCCCCCCCCCACCTTTTTTCCAGACTTCTCTCAGTCCAGATTACAGATTAATGATCTATACCTGTTCAGTTTAACATATAAATGTGCTTTTAAGTCCAGTACTGTTCAGCAAGGTTTCACAAGGCCACACACGCATTGATCAGGGTTTGGAAATCATCTGGAGCAAGGCAGGAGCCAGAGTCACCCTCACAGTGTGGGTTCAGCACAGCATGGGCAGTGGGGAAATTCAGGGAACAAGGAATGGGCACTGCTTCTGGCCCATCACTGATTCCTGGGGAATAGTGCAATAGCCACGTCCATGGGGAACAGTGTGGCTGCCATGAGATGATGTAAGGTTTCTGTAATCCCACAAACTCACTTTTGAATGTTTTGGCGCCTGTGTCTCAACACTCCTTAATTGACATTAAAGGCATTATTTTATCTTGCAATTAGTCTCATTAACTGGCTGATCGATTTTTGGAAATAGTTTTAGTGGCACATGGAGAAGAGCTGTTGTAATACTTGCAAGGCATCACCATCAATTCTCAACTAAACGTACAAAATCTGGTTCAAGAGTTTCACGCACACACACACAAAAGAAAGACGATATTCATCATGACAGAGGTGCAAATCACAGAGGTCACCTTTGCTTTTGAAGTTCTTTGTCTTTCCTTACAATCAAGCAATAGGGTTTTGGTAGCCAATACTGCTTGTGACACACAGAGGACTTTCCCACTCTAAGTAAGGCTGAGTGACCTCCACCAGGAGCAAAGGCTGCCTGCCTGCGGCAAGGTGGAGAACAGAAACAAGTCCCAGAGGATTAACAGGTGCAACCAAATAGCCCAGTCCCTCATTTGAATCAGTAAATTAAGGGATGACAGTGATTATGGCTGATCTCAGCCATCATAACCGATATCAAGACTTTGTAAAAGCAGACTGTCAGTGTCAGATCTTAGAGCTAGTACTCAAAGAATGAAATATTTTAAAGTAGCAGTCTCCAAAGAGAGATAAAAGCCCTAAGGCTATGAGTTATTTTATTTTATTTTTGTATTTGTAGGGCTGAAACTAGACCCTTTAATCCACAGCCTGACATTTTCCAATCCTACTAGGAATTAAGTGCCTAACTTTTTCAGCCTCTTTGAAAAATCTCAGCTTTAGGCTCTTTGGTAAGTTTGGCCTGATCCAGCACCAAGCTTCTTTTGAAAATGCCTTTATTGAAAGCAAAACTATATGCACTCAATTATATAATCATGGAACAAATATTATTTTTTTTCCTATGTACCCAAGTATTGTAGATTTTTGGTTAAATATCAAATGGTAAAACTTGCATTCCAGAAAAAAAATACATGTTATGGAAAGCTTTTCCCCCCTTTTAGTGCAGCATGTCTACCTACAGTTATTGAAGATCCTTCCAACTAATTGTTGTGTTGACTGAGTCGATTGCTGTATTAAAGTGAGAGATATGAAGCTATAGCTGCTTACTGTGACCACATCTATGCACAAACTCAATCTAGTCAACTCTTTAACAGTTCAAGTGATTCATCTGGAAATGATGAAGAAGGTATCATAACTTTGTTTTACACACAACTCTCATATTAAGTTATTCTGGTCCTCAACCCTCTCTTTCTCTTATTGAAAAAAGTGACTGTGGACTTTGGTGCCCTTATCCAAGATCTGAGTGTGTCTTATGATTAAGACCTTTAGAGATCTTTTTTCTTTTTCCTCTAGAAAGAGGGAATGTTGAAGATATGGAAAATGAAAAATGTGCCATGTTTGTCCTTGAAGTTACAGTCAGAATAGTGACAATGGCTGTATCACACTGTATTGTTGCTTTTATCAGCAAGTGCCCTGAGCATACATTAACATAATTGCAAACTGCATGAAAAGTGAACATGCAAAAATGTGATGCAATTGCCAATAGCCTCAAACATCTGTCCCAACAAAGTGTTCCTCCTCCTTATTTTAATTCTTGTTACTTTAACAAGGTTAGTGAAGGAGAAACCATGTCACAGATTATATCTACATTCAGAGTGTCAGAACAATTATCGATGCAAAATTGTTATCCAAGCAAATGTGTGTCACATTTTGTTCACTTCCCATAACACCTGTTCACTTCGCTAACACATTATTCCCAGTTAAAGCCAGAACTCATTAGTCCCAGTTAAAGCCAACCTGAGAGCTTAATACATACACACACCTGAAAAATTGAAAAAGTTAACCAAAATGTGGCACTATTTGAGCAGGGTGTACATCTGAACCTGGTGGGCAGCAAACTTCTGCAGCAGCTAATGGAAAGAAAGTGAGCCAGACAAACAGCAATAAACGAAAAGCCACCCAGCCTGAAGAGCTGAGATCACAGAGGGGCACTACTGAACCAACCTGCATTTCAGCCACGGTGCTGAGACTTCAAAACTCACAATACCAAAGAGCCCAACACTTTCCCAATACAACACATTTTTGGTTTACCTCCTCAAGAGGCAAACTACAAAAGCCACCACAAAGCAGATAGTTTAAAGCATTTTCCTTTTACCTAAATATTTTCAGATCCACTTTGAGGTTCTCAGTCCTGAGCATGGGCCTCCTGCCTCCCACCACGCTCATAGAGGGCCACCATCTCCTTACTCCCCAGACTGCTCACATTTGCCACCAAGGAAACTCAAGCTTGCATTTCCCTGATACTTGAACACACATTGTGAATTTGAGGGCATCTGCCCTGCAGATATACCACTAACTGTAACCCCAGGAGGCTTAAAGAAATATCAGCACTCCAATTCATAGAGTAAAGGTCTGAAGAGGCAGCTCTGTGAACGGATAACTGCCCGGGGCCTCGCCGAGCACAATATAGCTGTCACTTGTTATTAGGTGAAAGATTTTCTGGGGAACAGTGTTTTTCATTTTGCATGTCAGAGATGGGGGAAAAACACATTTAGACAACCATCTCTTTAAGAAAAAGAGGAGAGCTGGGCGGCAGAGCTCACTTACCGGGGCTGGTTATTGTCAGGAGGTCAAGCCGTCGTTTCTGCTGAAAAACAAATTATAAAAGGAATTGTTAAAAGGGGACTAATTTTAGTGGGTCAGCTTAGACCTGCAAAGTAAGTGTTCTGACATTTATAGCAGAATTAATTACAAGTTACATGGCTCACAGTAACTCTTTTGGAAGGGATCCACATGCACTTTATGAGGAAGAAAAACCCCTTGCTCAGTCCTTTTAATGTGTTTTTATTTGCACTTATAAAGTGTTACTATTTCTTTTTTGGAACATACACTTGAAATGGATAGCTAGAAGCACAGATGGACCGATATATTTATAAAAGTGATTTCTGATTCCACAGGGAAGAAGACATGGAACCGGGACGAGCAACACTAAGTTCTTTATTCATATCAATCACTGACTCAATGCCTGTATGTGATCAAACACCATTATATTGCCTTGGGGTGAACCTTTCAAAGACATGTAAGAGTATCTAGACAAACTCAAGAGTGATAAAAGGAAAGCTTCTTTTCATGCTGAGTGCAGTCAGCCCATGGATCTCATTGCCACCGGATATCCCTCACCCCAAAAGCTTGCCTGACTTGATCATCAGTGGATATCTGTACAGACAGCAAAATACAGGGAGTTATTATGGTAAATAATCAAGTTTATACAGAGGAGTGTTTCTGGAAGGCCTGCAAGACTTCACATGGCAAACCAACCTCTACTGTTGGAAGGTTAGGAAAATTTTCTGCCTGGAACAAGCTATGCCACCAAAGCCTTTGTGATGGTGGAGTGCATCTGAGGTTCCCTTTCCCTGTAACATGCAGCCAGTGCTGCCTGCTCCATGTTCACAGTCTTAGGTGATCTCCCCACTGTTACCTCTCTGTAGCCCACCACTTAAATCCATGTGCTCCTGGACCATTATCGCCCTTTTCCACCTTTCTGTGGGCTGAGAGCTTTCCATCACAAGCAGGGTTTTCCCCATCTCACAGACTGTTAATGCCTCCTCATCACAGCACTTTCTAACTTACTGTTGTATCCCTAATTTTGCCCAACAGTAGTGTGTCTAGCTGGTATTGAAGATTATACTGTCCAGTTTAATTTCTCTCTCCTAATTTGCTCAATAATGTCTGTGTTACTTTCATTTATTGCCAGCCCTATTGATCTTCTTCTAATCTAATTCTCATCACTGCACTCACTGTATTCCCTGTGTGACAGCTGAAAGTCCTTGAGGAGGCAACATCAGCTTGGTATTCCCTACTGTGAACGCTCTTCCTTGGAAATTATGACTGATGAAACTCCCTTCCAAACCCATAATTTCTCTGTAGTAAAGCTTCACTGGCTGAAGTGCATGGACATGGTCATTCAGTGAATACACTTGAGCTATGTGCCCAACGGGAACGTGGCCTGCTGGGAAGCCAGGTGGGGCGTCAGGCTGAAAAATCCCACATTTTCTGAAACCTTTCTGGCCTTCAGCACCTTAAATTTGTTACAACACAAATCACATTTGTGAGAAAAGTCCTGTCTGTCTGTTTTCAGAGGTACTCCTTGTTCTCTTAACTCTGATAAGTCATCCTGACTACAACCTTAGCACTGTGCTCGACTGCGTTTGCTTTAGTATAAAATACCGAGGCCAGTGTGTGCCAAGTCTTTTTCCAGGTGTGCAGGGTAATGGTGAAAGGGAGAGGAATACCCTGCTGCTGCTTTGTGTCCCCTGCACAAGAACTGCTGTACCTACTCTGCAGGGGGCTGCTCACCCCCCTCCTTTCCCAGGGAGCAGGAAAGCAGAGTGAGGAATACTGTGTGTAAGCAAAGGACCCACCTTCCCAGTGGGAGCCGTAAGACGAAACATCTCCTAATGAGCTAAATTTTATATAGATCCTGCACCTTAATCCTGATTCATATGTACAAAGCTATGAAATGCCAGAGCTTAGCCCCCACTGGGCCAAAAGCTTTGCTTACATTTCTCAGCACAACTGGAACTCCAAATGCTGTATATCTAATGAACAGCTAGAGCAGAAAATATATATCCAAAGCCTATACTCCGTGAAAGCTTCTCTACTAGGAAAAAAAAAGGTGGAATATAAATATCCTACATCAAAGAAAGTTGCAAAATGCAAAGATTTGGAATAGAGAGAAAGGCATGCAGCCTGACTGGCCCCCAGTCCTGACTTGAGTCTATTAAATGGGGTAAAAATAAACATTAAATTAAAACCTAAAGAGCTTAACTTGATACGTCAGGAAAACAAAAGCCTATAGGAGAGGTTAAACAAAATGGGAAATAAAATTAAATTATTACAAGTCAAACATTCAGTTTTTAACTTTTTTTCCAGTTTGGATGCTGCCTTCAGGCTGACCTTGGAAAAAAACAAATTAACTCCAGATCCAGGAAATCTCTGTGTATATGCTGAACTTTAAGCTCAAGTTATTTCTCTGACTTCAAGTGGAGCAGCACTGATCTTTTGCATCTAACACCTAACTGCTGTGAGGGATTTGAAATGCCACCAGGTCCTTGGCACTGGCTCCACCCAAACGCTCCAGGCTGCAGCACAGTGGTCCCTGCCTGCCTGGTGACCAGGAGAAGAAAAAATTCTCTGCTCTGACCTTCATGGGACCTTGAAGAGGTTTCACTGATTTAGCTCGTCAAGGGAAGTTTGTGCACACTCACCCCAGCCCCGGAGAGGAGCAAACAGCAAAGTGCATTGCAGAATTGAGCATTTAAACATGCAAAAGTACCCTAATTATGGATCCAACCACTTTCTGGAAATTCCAGCCTGCTCTCAGATCTCAGGGACTAGCTCTCTGCCGTTTCCAGGGCTCAGCTGGATGAAAGCAGCCTAGTAACTAGATGGATTTTTTTTAAAAAACAGACAGACTCACTTATGAGTAGCTATAAAAACAGCGGTATTTGAATTTAAAGAGAGAGACATTACAAATGTCACACCCATTAATAAAATAATTTCACCAGAAGTATCGTGGCTGTGGGGCTTTATATATTCACTTCTTTCTTCAGTGCTGAGAGATGCAAATTGCAGCTGTGGCCTCCCTCCAGCAGGATCACCCTCTCCCTGTTTTGACAGATTTCTTGAAAGACTCAGCTCACAAGATGTCTGGCTTTTTTTGTTCTGCCTTTAGGAATTTTCCACTTCTCAAACACCTGCCCCTGCTGAGATGCTTGGGACCATCCCAATCTCTAGGCAACCTACTGTCCCAAGAATTTCTTACAGTTTGAGCACTGAAACACAATGACTGTTGTTCCTGGTTGGGAAAGTGGTGACAGTTTCCCATGTCTCTAAGGCTGGATTTCACCTATATTGACAAAAAGACATTCCATAAGAAACACCAAAATGAATTCCACAGCATCAGCCATAATTTGAAGGAGGCAAACAGAAACATTCCCTGTATCATCACAGTATTGCTATGCCTATAATCCTGTCCTACCCTTGAGGGGCAGCATCCTCTTTTCCACTTTGCTGGCTATCTGAAATCCCAAGGGCAGGAAGAGGTGACTCATCCCAGCTTCCCACCTCCAGCAGTTTCCATGGTTGGCACTACCCAGAGGCACAGTCCCCACAGCGCAGTAAACCTGCAGCAGATCGTGCTCGCTTCCACAAAATTAACACAATCTTTAATTAATGCAATAAGCACTGATGAGTAATAAATCATATTAAAATACAAGGAAGGCAATTTTTTAATAAATTAAGCATTGATTCACTCAATAAATATTAATCTACTAAGCATCAAGAATTCATTACGTTTTAGAAAACCAGTTGAAGAACGTCACTGGTGAGCTGGTCTGAAGTGTGCAGAATGGTCCCTGTTCACCCATAATATACACTTATTTTTAACTAATTCATTAATTTATCAAGTTAAACAACTTGCCCGAAAGTCAGCCTGGATTATTATTCCATTGCAAGATGCAATTTTCTAGACACAGATTCTAACTCACCCCTCATTTTTTTTCCTGTTTCTTAGTAACTCCTTTTCTGAGTACCTCCTTTCTCTTCCTTGATTTTGGTGGTCTTTAAAATATTTGCTGACTGGTGCCATTTAATTTTCACCTCAATTAACTTAGAGAGAGTTGCAAAACTTGAAAAAAAATGCAGGGGGAGTGTAAATTAACTCATTCATTTAAGTTTAGCTTATCTATGAGATGTTCTTTCACACTTTGCTCTCTGCAGAGTTCTTCCAACCTTTTATAGAGATGTGGGATGTGCTGCACTTGCTTTGACTCTTATCTACAGATTAGCAAAAGAGAAGGAAAAAAAGCCAGATGCAAAGATGCCCCACGAGACTGATATGGAGCTGTTTCTGTAGCAACCGATGATTTTCTTCTCATGTAAGAATGAGCCCAGTCATATCTAATTCTGAATGTATCTGGGCCTTACTTGCCAGCCAAAGCTGTGTCAAGTATAAAGTCAATATAGTCAGAAAGAGTGATAAAAAACCAATTATAAAGTCATCTTCCTACTCCTCCTCCCGCCACGATCCAAAAAAATATTCTCATCCCTTTCTTCTGTCCCAAGCACATCATCTCCAAGCCCCCAACACCCAGCAGGGCAGGTAAGGGGAGATGGAGGTGGCAGCAGCCATTCAGGGATCTATGGCATACGTGAGGCCACTGTGCTGGGAGCTTCCTCAGCTTCCCAGGCACCCAAGTCCCAGGAGCCAGTAGAGGTTTTCTAGACAGCAAGGGCATTTCTACCTGCCTTGCTCTGAGTCTCCATATAAAATTCCTAAGCCCTGAGCTGACATCAGCTTTAGAAGCTGCTGTTGGGTTTGTGCCATTTCACTGCCTTCCCTCTCTGGGCAGTGTTTTCTGCAGCTGTGAACCCAAAGGCAGCTGCCCATCTCAACATCAGCTCCTGCCACAGTCCCCTCACAGGAGGCTGGAATTGACTCTCTGGGACCACACAAAGATTTTGTCTTCCAAAATGTATTTTACCCAGGCTGGTCTCTGCTATTGATCTCCTCCCTCTAATTTCAGTGTGGTTTGAACAGGTGTCTGTCCCTCACAACCTTCAATTTACTGTGCAGTTCGGAGGGTT